TAATAGCAAGTTTTAAGAGATTAAATAATAAAGTTATGAAGTTGTGTTTGGTGGAATGTGTTTGGGGGAAGTTTTGACACTAATGTGGTGATGGTGGTGATTGCTGTGTGGTGGTGATTGCGAAGGTGGTTGCGGTAGTGATTGCGAAGGTGGTTGCGGTGGTGGTTGCGGTAGTGATAGTGGTGATTGCTGTGTGGTGGTGATGGTGATAGTGTGGTTATGTGATTGCGGTAGTGATGGTGGTAATGACAGATGATGATGATTAAAGAAAGTGTGTGTGTGTGGTGAAGCAGTGTATGTATCGAGCGGTGGTAGGGAGGCTGGCGTTCTCAGCCCCCGTGCCTGCAGGCTGGCGGCTCCTGGCTAGTAGGGTTGGTGGGCGGCAGCTGGTGGTGGGTGATAGTGGGCGGTGGGTGACGGAGTGGTGTTTGACAAGAGGCAGTGGGTGATGGGTTGGTGGATGACAAGGGACGGTGGGTGACAGAGGGTGGTTGGGTGGGTGACAGAGGGTGGTTGGGAGTAGTAGCTGTCAGGAGTAGTAAGCGACAAGAGGCAGTGAGTGGTGAGGGGTGGTGACAGGGAGGGAGGTGGTTAATGGCGGGGAATGGGTGGCAGGAGGCAATGGGTGGTAGATGAGGATGGGTGGTAGAGGATGGTAGATGGTAGGAAGGGTACTGGGTGGCAGGAGGCGGTGGGCGGCATGTGGCGGGTGGCATAAGACGATGGGTACCAGCGGGTGGCAAATGGCAGGGGTATATTGGATAGCACAGAAACTGGTGGGTGGCAGAGGGTGGTGGGGGGCAGTGGGTGTCAGGTGTGTTGTGTGTCAGGTGTGTTGTGTGTCAGGTGTGTTATCTTCCTTTACCTCCTTCATCTTTCCTTCCTTCTACCTCCCCCCCCCCACTTTTCTTCTCTACACCTCCTCTTCTCCCTACCAGTCCCATGTTTATTCCATTATTTCTTCCAGTTTCTTCTCCATCTCCCACATTCCATTTATTCTCCCTTGTCTTGTTTATCATATCTCTCTCTCTCTCTCTGTTCCCCTCATCGTTCTTTGTTCTCAGTCAGTCGTGTGTGTGTGTGTGTGTGTGTGTGTGTGTGTCGTCAATGTTTTTGCTATTCCTTCTATCTTTTGTTCGTCTTGCCATTTTCTCTTCTTCTGTTTTGTTGTCACGTCTCTTAATCATTATCATCATCATCGTCGTCTTCATCTTTTTCTTTTGGTGGCTGCGTTAGTTAGCTCAATGACTGCCGTCCCTGACCTGACTGAAAATAATCATCGCGAGTGTGGGAGTTTCTCAAGGGCTGGCACTGTGAGTGTGTGTGTGGGTGTGTCTGTGTGTGTGTGTGTGTGTGTGTGTGAGTGTGTGTGGGTGTGTGTGTGTGTGTGTGTGTGTGTGTGTGTGTGTGTGTGTGTGTGACTTCATTTTAATTTACGGTATTGCGTTCGGTGTTTACATTTTTTTCGGAGTATCTAATTTAACCCAACCTAACCTAACCCAACCTAACCTAACCTCCAACCCAATTCTCAACCCTCAGATAGCTAGCATAAGGGTGGTTAATCTTCAGGTGGTCCATTTGCTTCCACCACCACCACCACAAAAAAAAAATCGATTCCAGACAAGCACTCAAGAACGCCACAACGAATTGACTTCAACTCCAGAACACACTTGACTTGGCATGTGATGGCGTTCTCTGTTGTGCTGCAGTTGTGTCGGCCTATTTTTAAGTATTAAAGGTCAAAGAGCATAAAGAGCTAGCACTGAGGGATCACACTTTCTTGCCTCCTAGACAGCTGGTACAAACTGCTATCTGAGGGTTGGCGACTACGACCCACTACGCCAAATTTTTTTCAGGGTGATAATAAATTCTTCCTGATTTTTTTTTTATATCTCTTTAGGGATTATAGGTATTAATTGTACTCCTCTAATCTAAGTCTCTAAGCCTTAACCCTGGTCTTCTTAATCTCAGTTTTAACCACGTGATCTGCGTTAGTAACCAGCAAATAGTAGGCGCGGGCCGGGGGTGCAACAACGAGCCGACGACTTGAACGGGCTGGGGGCGCGAGAAGGTAAACACAAAGGTAATTAACGAAGCTAAATGAGTCACGACAGTACACACACACACTACTGTCAACACACGCTTAGTATAGTGGTGAGACTAACTTAACCTAACCCTAACCAAACCTAACCTAACCTAACCCTAACCCTAACCCTAACCTAACCCTAACCAAACCTAACCTAACCAGACCAGACCAGGCTCACTCGCTGTTAAAATGTGTGCGAGAGGCAGCAGAGAGGCCAGAGCTGCCTCGTTCACTTTAAAGGTTTTTGGTGGTTCGTTAAGCGACGGTCAGAGGAGACATTGTGGCTTATCTTGTAGGACAGACCCTGGAGGCGAGATGGTGTGGACGTCTCTAGACTTAACTTACGTGTGTGTGTGTTTGTGTGTGTGACCGTGTTTGTGATTAATTATGTAACTGTGTATGTATATGACTGTATGAGTGACTGTATGTATGTACGTAGTTTTTGTCACCTCCCCGTCGTAGAGCTGAAGGTTACAAGACCCCTTAGCGTCACCTGGTGTGTGTTGGCTGCCGGTATATTCTGTTTCTCTATTTTATATAACTGATTTTTTTTCCATTATTTTCTTTCTTTTGTGGGGTTTTATTATATATCAATTTATATAACAAAGTTTATAGGTTTTTTTTTATAATTTATAGAACAATTTACATATATAATTTTATTTTTTTTTATACATGTTCAGTAAGGTGTTGTTTCAGGTAATCTGTTGTTTCTCTACGTGTTCTGTCTCAGTTAACTAGCAGGAGAGTGGTTGGACAGTAGTACCCGTCAGAATTTGTACTTTCTCTAGTGTGTGTGTGTGTGTGTGTGTGTGTGTGTGTGTGTGTGTGTGTGTGTGTGTGTGTGTGTGTGTGTGTGTAATAAGGCTCTCAACTCAGGGCTCTATTATACGTCAACATGGAGCTCTACCGTGTGTTTAGAATGAGTGTCTCTGGTTTAAGGGCCTCCATCACTGTCATTTATATAAGCCAGAGGGACTTTGGAAACTTGTGCTGGTCGTAAAATTATCATAATGAGTGTCTTGAGATTTTTTTTGTGTTGCGTTGTTTTGTTGTGTTGCGTGGGGGTGTCTTGAGTATTGCCTGGATGTATGTTGTGGTGTATGGATGTGTGTGTATGGATCTATGTAGGTGTGTATGGATGTATGTAGGTGGTGTATGGATGCATATGGTGGGTGTATGAGTATATATGGTAAGCACTGTGGTGGTGTATGATCATAAATGCTGACTACCTCCCATCACACACACACACGATACCTTGATGATGTATACACGGTCAGCTTTTTTTAACGTCATGAGGAGGATAATGAATAATCTGGTCAATACCTTGTCCTCGGTGTCTAGCTCTGGGGTTTGACTTTTGGGGGTCGGGCTCTGGGCTCTGGTGTCTGGCTCTGGGAAGATGGGTGAAGTTTTTTACCCCTCCTCGCTTTGCCTTGACTTGCTTCGTCTCTCCTCTTCCCTCCTCTGGTTATAGTGGTAGTTTAAAGGAAGTCAGGCGGATTTTAAGGTGTTATTAGGGAAGTCAGGTGGTTTTTAGGGAAGTCAGGTGGATTTAATGAAGTCAGGTGGTTTTAATGAAATCAGGTGGGTTTAGGGAAGTCAGGTGGCTTTAATGAAGTAAGGTGGCTTTAATGAAGTCAGGTGGCTTTAATGAAGTCAGGTGGCTTTAATGAAGTCAGGTGGATTTAATGAAGTCAGGTGGCTTTTATGAAGTCAGGTGGATTTAATGAAGTCAGGTGGATTTAATGAAGTCATGTGGATTTAATGAAGTCAGGTGGCTTTAATGAAGTCAGGTGGATTTAATAAATTCAGGTGGATTTAATGAAGTCAGGTGGATCTAATGAAGTCAGGTGGATTAGTCAGGTTATCAATACAAATTCTAACTAAAATATTTCTCAATTTTTTTCACAATTCTGTTTTTTTTTTCTAATATATTACGACGTGGTGCACCTGAGCTCCATAATGGCGCCTCAGGTGTGTGTGTGTGTGAGGAACGCCATCACACTCCGTTCATCTTGAGTGAATTATCTACGTCGCTTGTGAGGAACGGACGTATTAGGTTGTAGATCCGTCCGTTCGTCTTGGGTGTCCGTGTTGGGGTGTACGTGTGTTTGGGTGTACGTGTGTTTGGGGTGTACGTGTGTTTGGGGTGTACGTGTGTTTGGGTGTACGTGTGTTTGGGTGTCCGTGTGTTTGGGTGTCCGTGTGTTTGGGTGTACGTGTGTTTGGGGTGTACGTGTGTTTGGGTGTCCGTGTGTTTGGGTGTCCGTGTGTTTGGGTGTCCGTGTGTTATTCTGACGAAACTCCACCTGTATTTGTATCACCAATAGAGGAATCGCAGAACACCTTGGTCAAGTGTGTGTGTCAGTCAAAGGTCAAACTCACAGCAGCTAAAGGTCAGAGGTCAAATTTGTCGAAAGGGATATTCCGATTGGCTGATTATGTGGGTGTCGAGGCTATAGTCAAGTACTCCGACAGGTGTGTGTATGTGTCATAGGTGTAGGGATGTGGTGGAGTATTTGGAGTAATGGATGAAGTTTGGCTAAAATAGAAGGTTAAAAAGAGATATAATCCAGAATGGTTTACCTGTGAATCCATACCTGTAGTGAATTACCTGTGTATCCCTAGTTACCTGTGTGTGTGTGTGTGTGGGTGGGGGGGGGTTAGTTATGGTATATATTCACGTGTGGTGTTATAGTGAGCGTCTCTCTAGCGCAACCAGCCTCCCCCCCCCCCGAGTGGCTCTCTCTAGGGCGGTAGGGCGGTGCTCACGTGCTGCGCTCTCTCTCTTTCTTACACACTCTCTTTATCTCTCTCTCTCACTCTCTCTCTGTGTGCTGGGTGCGTGTGTGAGGCGGTGGTGGAGGTGGAGGGGGCTCACTTTGGCAGTGTGAGGCGTCGCTGGCGGCTGGGTGGTTGGTGTGTTGGTTCTGCTGGCGGTGAGTGGCTGCTGCTGCTGCTCTCAACACCCTCCATCACCACACGCACACACACACACACACACACACACCTGAGCCACTCACGCTCCTCGCCTCCGCCTCACCACCTCACGCCCTCCTCATAACACAGACACAGGTAAATAACATAGAGTATTCCCGTGATGTTTATATTAAGTGTTGATGTTTGTTTTACGCCGCGTGTGTGTGTCAGAGGTCATATTCCACGCCGGGTTGACCTCGTCGTTAGTACCTGTCCCCAAGTGAGGCCGCTGGGAGCAAGACCGGAAGTGAGGGAGATAGATCATTATTGACCTAACTTTATTTGGCAGTTGTCCCACCCGGCCCAAGGTCGAATCGCCGAGTATTGATCTCGTTTGGTTCGTGTTCTTTCAACAGGAAATTCAGAGCATGTTGTTGTTTTTGTTTGGGAAGGAGGAAAGTGAGGGGAAAACGACCCACCCAACCACGACACCCAGAGAAAATACGACGACGTGGTTATATTGCTGACATGAGTGACTGACCACGTAGCGTAATAACCTAACTAAGTCAGCCATACCACGAAAGAATATTGTGTTGTTGTAGTGGTGATAGTAGAGAATGGTAACGAGAGCAGTGTTAACAATAACAATAGTGGTTGTATAGTAGTAGGTGTAGTAATTGTACTTTTAGTTATATAAAGTGATGGTGGTGGTAGTAGTAGTAGTAGTAGTAGTAGTAGTAGTAGTAGTAGTAGCAGCAGCAGCAGTGATGATAGTTGTGATTTCAGTGATACTAATACTAGCTAAGATAATAGTAGTGGTAGTGGTGGTAATAGTAGCAGACTTTGTAACAATAGTACTTGTAGTAATAGTAGCAGTGCTGTAGTAGTCGTAGTAGCTGTAGTAGTAGAACAGGAAATGGTGTCAGTGGTGGTGATGTTGGTCAAGGTCGTGGTGGTGGTGGCTGGGGAACGAGTCGTAGTCGTAGTAGTAGTAGTAGTAGTAGTAGTAGTAGTAGTAGTAGTAATAATAGTGACAGTGCCATTAGTATTTTTTTTATGATTTTGTTGAGGACATCGCGGTGATAAACTAATGCTGATTGCAGTAGTGGTGGTAGTAGTGGTGTTGGTGGTAGTAGTAGTGTTGGTGGTAGTAGTGGTGTTGGTGGTAGTAGTGGTGTTGGTGGTAGTAGTGGTGTTGGTGGTAGTAGTAGTGATGTTGGTGGTAGTAGTAGTGTTGTTGGTGGTAGTAGTAGTGATGTTGGTGGTAGTAGTAGTGATATTGGTGGTAGTAGTGGTAGTGACGCATGTTATACTCCACCAACCAGTCAGCCATTTGCATACTCGTATCTTCCTGCTCTTCCTCCAGCTATTCCTCCTCCTGCTTCTCCTCCTCTGCTTCTCTTCCTCCTCTTCCTGCTTCTCCTGCCAGACCATCGTGTAGTGGCTCATGATCCTGGCGTTAAGAACCTTCAGCAACCTTGTCTTACGCTAGGAATCTCTCACCACCTTGGGGGGTAGGAGAGAGAGAGAGAGAGAGAGATCGTCATCCTCTGGTCTATTGTTGTGAGTTGAGTTATTATCAAGAGGCAGAGACAGTAGATTATGAGGTCAATTTCGATATATCGGATGGAAAATGATACAATTGTGAGTAGTTGTAGTAGTGGAGGGGTTGTGGGGGGGGGGTGATGGGTTATGGGAGTCAAGGTTACGGCAGGAGTGACATGAGGGACTTCCAAGGTGTTATGATCGCAGGTAAAGGATCTCCCTGTGGTGTTATGAGTGAGTGGTGTACGGAGGAAGGCCCTGTGACTCCTGCAGCTGTGTGTGTGTGTGTGTGTGTGTTTGATTGCGTGTGCGTGTGTGTAGGTGCGCACTTATGGTGGCGCATGGGGCGTAGGACTTGTGCCGGGGATGTGTGCGTGTGTGCGTGTGTGTGTAAATTATCTTACTACGGTATTGACCGCTCGTGCCCCTCCCCCACCTTCACCTCTCCCACCCCTCCCCCGAATCCTAGCGCCCCCCATCACCTCTACCCAGCCAAGCCCTTGTCCACCCTCCTACCCATCCTTCCCTCTCTGTACCCGCCTGCCTGCCTGCCTGCCTGCCTTCCATCCTACCATCCTGTAATCTATCCTACCATCAATCCATCCTACCATCAATCCATCCTACCATCCTGTAATCCATCCTACCATCAATCCATCCTGTAATCCATCCTACCATCAATCCTTCCATCCTTCGTCACCTCTCCTGGTTCCTCTCCATCATCGCCGTTGTCATGTTATCACAGGTCGTTCTCAGTATCTCTTCCTCCTTCATTCCTTCGCTTCCTTCATCTCCGCTCTTATCTGTCTTCTTCGCTTTCTTTATTACTCCATTTCCTCCTTCATTCCCCATTCCTTCACTGTCCCTCTTATCTCCCTCCTTCGCTTTTTTTTATTACTCTTATTCCTCCTCCTTCATTCCCTCCTTCCTTCACTTTCCCCTCTTTGGGCACAATATTTGGTACCTTCTAATTGGTAACAATGAATTAGTACTTCCTAATTGGTAAAAGTGATTGGTGCCACTTATTGGGCCTACTGATTGGAACTACTAATTAGTCCCATTGATTGGTACCTTCTAATTGGTCCCACTGATTGAGAACCACGTAAATGACCCCACTATTGGTCCCACTTATTAAGGTTTAAAGGACGACTCAAATAAGCTTTCCTTATTTACGTATTAAACACCTCCACTATTATCACGGATTCGTCTTATTCTCGACACACCACCCCTGGAGAGACGAACAGCAGGACGAAGAGGGAATGAAGGTTAGTGTAATCGTCCGTGTGTGTTTCCGTTCGTCCAGGATGTTGTGGTGGTGGTGGTGGTCATGTTCAATTGAAGAAATAACGCGATGGAGTGGAATTGAACTTGTGGGTATGTTAAATTCAGGAAGGTTCGTTGTTAGGGTGGTTCGTTATTAGGGTGGTTCGTTATTAGGGTGGTTCGTTATTGGGGTGGTTCGTTATTAGGGTGGTTCGTTATTAGGGTGGTTCGTTATTAGGGTGGTTCGTCATTGGGGTGGTTCGTTATCAGTCTGGGAAGGCTTAGGGTGTGAAGGGTCTGGGGTCTAGTGGGATCTGGAGGGGGGTCTGGGAAGGTCTGGGGTCTGGTGTCTGAGGGTCTGGGGGTCTAGTGGGGGTCTGGGGGTCTGGGAAGGTCTGGGGTCTGGTGTCTAAGAAGGTCTGGGGTCTGGTGTCTAAGAGGGTCTGGGGTCTAGTGGGGTCTGTATGTGGTCTGTCTTGAGTGTTACCTCATCATATGGTGGGCATGTGGTGGGTTTCAGATTCATGTGGTGTGTCTCAGATCATGTGGTGGGTCTCAGATTCATGTGGTGTGTCTCAGATCATGTGGTGGGTCTCAGATTCATGTGGTGTGTCTCAGATCATGTGGTGGGCATGTGGAGGGTCTCAGATTCATGTGGTGTGGCTCAGATCATATGGTGGGCATGTGGTGGGTCTCAGATTCATGTGGTGTGTCTCAGATCATGTGGTGGGTCTCAGATTCATGTGGTGTGTCTCAGATCGTGTGGTGGGTCTCAGATTCATGTGGTGTGTCTCAGATCATGTGGTGGGTCTCAGATTCATGTGGTGTGTCTCAGATCATGTGGTGGGTCTCAGATTCATGTGGTGTGTCTCAGATCGTGTGGTGGGCATGTGGAGGGTCTCAGAGGTGCTGGCTGGTGAAGGTGATGTTAACAGTCACTCAGATATATGTTTACATTTGTGTGTTTACTTCTCGTCTACCATTCGGGGAGGAGGGTAAGATATACAGTTGGGGACACGGCAGGGGGTTCTCGATCCCTTAAAAGAGGTTCTCGATCTCTTTAAGAGGTTCTCGATCCCTTAAAAGAGGTTCTCGATCTCTTTAAGAGGTTCTCGAGCCCTTAAAAGAGGTTCTCGATCTCTTTAAGAGGTTCTCGAGCCCTTAAAAGAGGTTCTCGATCTCTTTAAGAGGTTCTCGATCCCTTAAAAGAGGTTCTCGATCTCTTTAAGAGGTTCTCGAGCCCTTAAAAGAGGTTCTCGATCCCTTAAAAGAGGTTCTCGATCCCTTAAAAGAGGTTCTCGATCCCTTAAAAGAGGTTCTCGATCCCTAAAAGAGGTTCTCGATCCCTTAAAAGAGGTTCTCGATCCCTTTAAAAAGAGGTTCTCGATCTCTTACATGGGGTTCTCGAGCCCTTAAAAAGAGGTTCTCGATCCCTTAAAAGAGGCTCCCTGATCCCTTAAAAGAGTGTTGCCCCCGATCCTTAAAAAGAGGTTCTCGATCTCTTTAAGAGGCTCGAGCCCTTAAAAGAGGTTCTCGATCCCTTAAAAGAGGTTCTCGATCCCTTAAAAGAGGTTCTCGATCCCTTAAAAAGAGGTTCCGATCCCTAAAGAGTGTTCTCGATCCCTAAAAGAGGCTCTGATCCCTTAAAGAGGCTCCCGATCCCTAAAAGAGGTTCTTGAGCTCCTTAAAGAGGTTCTCGAACCCTTAAGGAGGTTCTCGATCCCTTAAAAGAGGTTCTCCCGATCCCTTAAAAGAGGTTCTTCGAGCCCTTAAAAGAGGTTCTCGAACCCTTAAGGAGGCTCTCGATCCCTTAAAAAAGAGGCTCTCGAGCCCTTAAAAGAGGTTCTCGAGCCCCAAGGAGGTTCTCGATTACTTTAAGAGGTTCCCGATCCCTTAAAAAGAGGTTCTCCGATCCCTAAAAGAGGTTCTCGGATCCCTTAAAGAGGTTCTCGATCCCTTAAAAGAGGTTCTCGATCCCTTTAAGAGGTTCTCGATCCCTTAAAAGAGGTTCTCGATCCCTTAAAGAGGTTCTCGAGCCCTTAAGGAGGTTCTCGACCCCTAAACAGGGTTCTTGAGCCCTTAAGGAGGGTTTCGATCCCTTTGGGGGAATAATACGCCCTCAGAGCCCTCGAGAACCACCAGACCAAAACATTCACTACCTGTAGGAGGCGACGAAGGAGGTAGAACTACCCCCATGAAGACTACAGGCAGGGGTGGGGGGAGGGGAGGTGGATTACGATACTCACCGAAGGAGGTATTGACCACTGAGTTATTGATGATGACCTGTATACGACCTGTTGTGGGAGGAGATAGTGAGTGACCTCGTGGCTCTGTTGACCTTGTGGTGAAGGGGGTGGGGGGCTAGTATTATTGATGACGTCACAAAGGTAGGGTTTATGACCACAGGGGAAGGAGTGGGAGAAGGAGGGAGGGGGAGAGGTGACTGACCTTGGGATAAAGGTTAGGTTAGGTTAGGTTAGGTTAGGTTAGGTTAGATTAGGTTAGGTTAGGTTAGGTTAGGTTAGGTTAGGTTAGGTTAGGTTGACAACACTGAACACTGACAATTCATGACGCACCTGACCACGCACCTTCTACCTGATGACCTTGGTGAGGTGTCGTGTAAAGGTCATCACACACACACTGTTATGATAAAGGGTGGCAGCATGTTGATGTTCTGTGTACTAGCATTCAGCAGCTAGTGAGTTATGCCATCCTTTTAATGCTAGCTAGTGGATATTATTAGTGTTGATTGTACAAGGGCTAGAGTACAAGATCTATCAGTGCAGGGGCGAGTGGATAAGGTCTAGTCTGCAAGTTCTAAGAGTACAAGGGCTAGAGTACAAGGTTTAAGAGTACAAGGACTAGTATGTACAGGGCTTATTGTACCAGGAGAGAAGGTATAACCATTCCTTCACCCAGTCTAGGAAGGGATTCGAACCCCGGAGACCGACGCTAGGTTGATGAGAAACACTTTGACTCACTGAGAACCATAGGAGTGAGTGCCTGAGGAGTGCCTTGAGTGAGTGTCTGAGGAGTGCCTTGAGGAAGTGCCTTGAGTGAAGTGCCTTTGAGAAGTGCCTTGAGGAGTTGCCTGAGTGAAGTGCCTTGGAGGAGGTCTTGGAGGAGTGCCTTGGAGTGAAGTGGCCTGAGTGAAGTGCCTTGAGGAAGTGCCTTGAGTGAGGTCTTGAGGAGTTGCCTTGAGTGAAGTGCCTGAGGAGTGTCTTGAGTGAGTGCCTTTGAGGAAGTGCTGCCTGAGTGAAGTGCCTTGAGTGAAGTGCCTTGAGGAGTGCTTGAGTGAGTGCCTGGAGGAGTTGCCGATGAAGTGCCTTGAGTGAGTGTCTTGAGGAGTGCCCTTGAGTGAGTGCCTTGAGGAAGTGCCTGAGGAAGTGCCTTGGAGTGAGGTCTTGAGGAAGTGCCTTGAGGAAGTGCCTGGTGAAGGCTTGAGTGAAGTGCCTGAGTGAAGTGCCTGAGTGGGCCTGGAGTGAAGCGTTTGAGTGAAGTGCCTGAGGAAGTGCCTGAGGAGGTTCTGGAGGAGTGCCTGAGGAGTTGCCTTGAGTGAAGTGCCTTGAGTGAGTGTCTTGAGTGAGTGCCTGAGGAGGCCTTGAGTGAAGTGCCTTGGAGGAAGTGCCTTGAGGAAGTGCCTTGAGTGAGTGCCTTGAGGAGGTCTTGGAGTGAGTGTCTTGAGTGAGTGCCTTGAGTGAGTGCCTTGAGTGAGTGTGCCTGAGGAGGGTCCTGAGTGAGTGCCTGGAGGAAGTGCCTTGAGTGAGGCCTTGAGTGAAGTGCCCGAGGAGTGCCTTGAGTGAGGTCTTGAGGAGTGTCTTGAGGAGTGCCTTGAGTGAGAGTGCCTGAGTGAGTGCCTGGAGGAGTGCCTGGAGGAGTGCCTGAGTGAGTGCCTTGAGGAGTGCCTTGAGGAGTGCCTTGAGGAAGTGCCTGGAGGAGTGCCTTGAGGAGTGCCTTGGAGTGAGTGCCTTGGAGTGAGTGCCGAGGAGTGTCTTGAGGAGTGTCTTGGAGGAGTGCCTTGGTGAGTGCCTTGAGTGAGTGCCTGAGTGAAGTGCCTTGGAGGAGTGGCCTTGGAGTGAGTGCCTTGGGGAGTGTCTTGGTGGAGTGCCTTGAGGAGTGCCTTGAGGAGTGCCCGAGGAGTGCCTTGAGGAGGCCTTGAGGAGTGCCTTGGTGAGTGCCTGAGAGTGCCTTGGTGAAGTGCCTGAGGAGTGCCTTGAGGAGTGCCTGGGTGAGTGCCTTGGTGAGTGCCGGAGGAGGTCTTGAGGAGGCCTTGAGGAGTGCCTTGAGGAGTGCCTTGAGTGAAGTGCCTTGAGGAGTGCCTTGAGGAGTGCCTTGAGTGAGTGTCTTGAGTGAGGTCTTGAGGAGTGCCTTGGTGAGTGCCTTGAGGAGTGCCTTGAGTGAGTGTCTTGAGGAGTGCCTTGAGTGAAGTGCCTTGAGGAGTGCCTTGAGTGAGTGCCTTGAGTGAGTGCCTTGAGGAAGTGCCTTGAGGAGTGCCTGAGTGAGTGTCTTGGTGGAGTGTCTTGAGTGAGTGCCTTGGAGTGAAGTGCCCTTGAGGAGTGCCTGAGGAGTGTCTGAGTGAGTGTCTTGAGGAGTGCCTTGGAGGAGTGCCTTGAGTGAGTGCCTTGAGTGAGGTCTTGAGTGAGTGCCTTGAGGAAGTGCCTTGAGGAGTGTCTTGAGTGAGGCCTGAGGAGTGCCTTGGAGTGAGTGTCTTGAGTGAGTGTCTTGAGGAGTGCCTTGAGAGTGCCTTGAGTGAGTGCCTTGAGGAGTGCCTTGAGTGAAGTGCCTTGAGGAGTGCCTTGAGGAGTGCCTTGGTGGAGTGCCTGGTGAGTGCCTGAGTGAAGTGCCTTGGGAGTGCCTGGAGGAGTGCCTTGAGGAAGTGCCTGAGTGAGTGCCTTGGTGAGGCCTGGAGGAGGCCTTGGTGAGTGCCTCCTGAGGAGGCCCTGAGTGAGTGCTCTGGAGGAGTGCCTTGAGTGAGTGCCTTGAGGAGGCCTTGGAGGAGTGCCTTGAGAAGTGCCTTGAGTGAGTGCCTTGGAGGAGTGCCCTGAGTGAGTGTCTTGGTGAGTGCCTGAGTGAGGGCCCTGGAGGAGTGCCTTGAGTGAGTGCCTTGAGTGAAGTGCCTTGGAGGAGGCCTTGAGTGAGTGTCTTGAGGAGTGCCCTGGAGGAAGTGCCTTGAGTGAGCGTGGGGGTGCCTGAGGAGTGCCGGGAGGTCCTGGAGGAGTGCCTGTGAGTGCCTTGAGGAGTGCCTTGGTGAGGCCTTGAGGAGTGCCTTGAGTGAAGGTGCCTTGAGTGAAGTGCCTTGAGTGAAGTGCCTGAGGAGTGCCTGAGTGAAGTGCCTTGAGTGGGGAGTGAGTGCCTTGAGGAAGTGCCTGGGAGGTCTTGAGGAGTGCCTGAGTGAGGTGCCTTGAGTGAGTGCCTGAGGAGTGCCTGAGGAGGCCTGAGTGAAGTGCCTTGAGTGAAGTGCCTTGAGTGAGTGCCTTGAGGGAGTGCCTTGGAGGAGTGCCTGAAGGAGTGCCTTGAGTGAAGTGCCTTGAGGAGTGTCTTGAGTGAGTGCCTGAGTGAAGGTGCCTTGAGTGAGTGCCTTGAGTGAGTGCCTTGAGGAAGTGCCTTGAGGAAGTGCCTGAGGAGGTCTGGTGAGCCTTGGTGAAGTGCCTTGAGGAGGTCTTGAATGAGTGCCTGAGGAGTGCCTTGAGGAGTGCCTGAGTGAAGTGCCTGAGTGAAGTGCCTTGAGTGAAGTGCCTTGAGTGAAGTGCCTTGGGGAAGTGCCTGAGGAAGTGCCTTGAGGAGTGCTGAGTGAGTGCCTTGGGGAGTGTCTTGAGTGAAGTGCCTTGAGGAAGTGCCTGAGGAGTGCCTTGGTGGTCTGAATGAGTGCCTTGAGGAGGTCTTATGAGTGCCTGAGGAAGGCCTTGAGTGAAGTGCCCTGAGTGAAGTGCCTTGAGGAAGTGCCTTGAGGAGTGTCTTGAGTGAGTGCCTATAAGTGCCTTGAGTGAAGTCTGCCTGGAGGAGGGTCTGAATGAGTGCCCGAGGAGTGCCTTGAGTGAGTGCCCTGAGGAGTGCCTGGTGAAGTGCCTTGGAGTGAAGTGCCTTGAGGAAGTGCCTGGAGGAGTGCCTGAGGAGTGCCTTGAGTGAAGTGCCTTGAGTGAAGTGCCTTGAGTGAAGTGCCTGGAGGAGTGCCTTGAGTGAAGTGCCTTGGAGTGAAGTGCCTTGAGGAAGTGCCTGGTGAGTGCCTGGAGGAAGTGCCTGGAGGAAGTGCCTTGGAGGAAGTGCCTTGAGTGAGTGCCTTGAGGAAGTGCCTTGAGGAAGTGCCTTGAGTGAAGTGCCTTGAGTGAGGCCGAGGAGTGCCTTGGAAGTGCCTTGAGTGAAGTGCCTGAGTGAAGTGCCTTGGAGTGAGTGCCTTGAGTGAAGTGCCTGAGTGAAGTGCCTTGAGGAAGTGCCTTGAGGAAGTGCCTTGAGGAAGTGCCTTGAGGAGTGCCTTGAGTGAAGTGCCTGAGTGAAGTGCCTTGAGTGAAGTGCCTTGAGTGAAGTGCCTTGGAGGAAGTGCCTTGAGGAAGTGCCCGAGTGAAGTGCCTTGAGTGGCCTTGGTGAGTGCCTTGAGTGAAGTGCCCTTGGTGAAGTGCCTGGAGTGATGCCTGGAGGAAGTGGCCTTGAGGAGGCCTGAGGAGGTCTTGAATGAGTGTCTTGAGTGAGTGCCTTGGAGGAAGTGCCTTGAGTGAAGTGCCTTGAGGAGTGCCTTGAGGAGTGCCTTGGAGGAGTGCCTTGAGGAGGTCTTGAGTGAGTGCCCTGAGTGAAGTGCCTGGAGGAGTGCCTGGAGGAGTGCCTTGGGGAGTGCCTGAGTGAGTGCCTGAGGAGTGGGTGAGGCCTTGAGGAAGTGCCTGGAGGAGTGCCTTGAGTGAGTGCCTTGGAGGAGTGCCTTGAGGAGGCCTGAGGAGGCCTTGAGGAGTGTCTTGAGGAGTGTCTGAGTGAGTGCCTTGAGGAGTGCCTTGAGTGAGTGCCTTGAGGAAGTGCCTGGAGGAGTGCCTGAGTGAGTGCCTTGGAGGAGTGCCTTGAGTGAAGTGCCTTGAGTGAGTGCCTGAGTGAGTGCCTTGAGGAGTGCCTGAGGAGTGCCTGGAGGAGTGCCTTGAGGAGTGCCTGAGTGAAGTGCCTGAGGAAGTGTCTTGAGGAGTGCCTTGAGTGAAGTGCCTGAGTGAGTGCCTTGGTGAGTGTCTTGAGGAGGCCTTGAGAAGTGCCTTGGGAGTGTCTTGAGTGAGTGCCTTGAGTGAGTGTCTGGAGGAGTGCCTTGGTGAGTCCTTGGAGGAGTGTCTTGAGGAGTGCCTTGAGTGAAGTGCCTTGAGTGAGTGCCTGAGTGGGTGCCTGGGAGTGTCTTGGAGGAGTGCCTGAGTGAGTGCCTTGGTGAGTGCCTTGAGTGAGTGTCTTGGTGAGTGCCTTGTGAGTGAGTGTCTTGAGTGAGTGCCTTGGTGAGTGCCTTGGTGAGTGCCTTGAGGTGAGTGCCTTGAGTGAGTGCCTTGGATCCTTGTGGAGTGTCTTGAGTGAGTGCCTTGGTGAGTGCCTTGAGTGAGTGCCTTGGTGAGTGCCTTGGTGGGTGTCTTGGTGAGTGCCTTGGTGGGTGCCTTGGTGAGTGTCTTGGTGAGTGCCTTGGAGTGAGTGCTTTGGTGAGTGTCTTGAGTGAGTGCCCTTGAGTGGGTGCCTTGGTGGAGTGCCTTGAGTGAGTGCCTTGGTGAGGTGTCTTGGTGGAGTGTCTTGGTGAGTGCCTTGGTGGAAGTGCCTTGGTGGAGTGCCTTGAGTGAAGTGCCTTGAGAATACTGGTTCCTGTCCTACTTCCGTCGGTCCGTTCTGTCCTTCATCGTCTCGGTCCGTTCCTATCATACGTCCGTCGGTAAGTTTCTGTCATACGTCCGTCGGTCCGTTCCTGTCATACGTCCGTCGGTCCGTTCCTGTCATACGTCCGTCGGTAAGTTTCTGTCATACGTCCGTCGGTCCGTTCCTGTCATACGTCCGTCGGTCCGTTCCTGTCGCCGTCCGTCGGTCCGTTCCTGTCATACGTCCGTCGGTCCGTTCCTGTCTCCGTCCGTCGGTAAGTTCCTGTCATACGTCCGTCGGTCCGTTCCTGTCATACCTTTCTTAATTGGTCACTTGTGCAGGGTCTTGTGTCCTTAGGTAAACAAGCAGAAGGGCCTGTTTATGTCGCCTTCAGAAGTAAACAACCACATAGGCAATTGGCACAGTGTCATGGGGGCGGCGGTTCGAGTTTGTAAGGAAGTTTTGTTTGCTTAAAATGGATAGAATAATGGAATGACGAGAGAGAGTGAGTTATAACTATTTACCTAATCATAAACTTTCACCCCAAGCCTTCCTCAACGTTACCAGAACCTGACCTAACCTAACCTGACCTGACCTGACCTGACCTGACCTGACCTTTTAACTGATTGAGAACAAAAGTTGTCTTACATGATCGTTGGCGTGGACCAATGAGAAATGACCACCGGGAACCAATCTTCAGCGACTACCGTGGACCAATGAGAAATGACCTTTTTAGTAGAAGTTATCCTACTACTGTAAAGGTTATATGATATAGCCAATTGAATATAGCATTTGTTTATTTTTTATAGTGTCATATATCGGTACTAAGTTATTGATTTCCGTCCGTCCGTCTCTGTCAGTCCGTCCACCCCTGTCCGTCCGTCCACCCCTGTCCGTCCGTCCGTCCACCCCTGTCCGTCCGTCCGTCCACCCCTGTCCGTCCGTCCACCCCTGTCCGTCCGTCCGCCCCTGTCCGTCCGTCCGCCCCTGTCCGTCTGCCCGTCCGCCCCTGTCCGTCCGCCCGTCCAGGAGTGTATTTAACGCTTCAAAAAACAAATCCTCTTAAGCCATTTAATTTAGTAAGTTGGTAACAGTGTCTGGCCACAGTCTACCTACCTGGTAACAGTGTCTGGCCACAGTCTACCTACCTGGTAACAGTGTCTGACCACAGTCTACCTACCTGGTAACAGTGTCTGCACAGTAACAGTGTCTGACCAGATCTACCTACCTGGTAACAGTGTCTGCACAGTCTACCTACCTGGTAACAGTGTCTGCACAGTCTACCTACCTGGTAACAGTGTCTGCACAGCAACAGTGTCTGTACAGTCTACCTACCTGGTAACAGTGTCTGGCCACAGTCTACCTACCTGGTAACAGTGTCTGCACAGTCTACCTACCTGGTAACGTGTCTGCACAGTACCTACCTGGTAACAGTGTCTGCACAGTCTACCTACCTGTAACAGTGTCTGCACAGTAACAGTGTCTGACCACAGTCCACCACTCCTGGTAACAGTGTCTGGCCACAGTCTATCTACCTGGTAACAGTGTCTGGCCACTGTCTACCTACCTGGTAACAGTGTTTGGCCACAGTCTACCTACCTGGTAACAGTGTCTGGCCACAGTCTACCTACCTGGTAACAGTGTCTGCACAGTCTACCTGGTAACAGTGTCTGCACAGTCTATCTACCTGGTAACAGTGTCTGGCCACTGTCTACCTGGTAACAGTGTTTGGCCACAGTCTACCTACCTGGTAACAGTGTCTGCACAGTCTACCTACCTGGTAACAGTGTCTGGCCACAGTCTACCTACCTGGTAACAGTGTCTGCACAGTCTCTACCTACCTGGTAATAGTGTCTGTACAGTCTACCTACCTGGTAACAGTGTCTGGCCACAGTCTACCTACGGTAACAGTTTCTGGCCACAGTCTACCTACCTGGTAATAGTGTCTGTACAGTCTACCTACGTCTTAACAGTGTCTGGCTGGTAACAGTGTCTGGCCACAGTCTACCTCGTCTTAACAGTGTCTGGACAGTTTAGTTAAGCGGGAACAGTTTCTGGCAACAGTCGGTGGTGAGACTTGAGGGTGGCAACAGTGGGTGGTGAGACTTGATGGTGGCAACAGTGGCTGACCACAGTAAGTTGTCTGTTTGCAAGAATCAATAGAGGAGATTCCTTTAAAGAGAACATGAGCACGTATGACTCGTGTGTGTGTGTGTGTGTGTGTGTGTGTGTGTGTGTGTGTGTGTCACCATCCAACACTTCACATAGTTAGTGTAGTTTTGTTTGTGTTGTTTTAGTGTTGTGTTGTAGTTGACCATTTTGTTTTGCGTTCGTGTTGTTTTGAACATTTTAGTGAACAGGTGCTCAATCCTCGCGCACCTCCCCCCCTCCCTCCGACCCTCCTTCCCTTCCTACCATCTCTCTCTCTCTCTCTCTCTCTTCCCTCTCTCTCTCTCTCTCTCTCTCTCTCTCTCTCTCTCACCTACATTTGAATTCCAGTCTTTGTTTACCTGTGAATATCTAGCCCTGTTAATTTGAGTTTAGGTTAGGTGGTACTAGGTTAAATCATTGTACTCAAGAGGGGGTTAATGTATCGTACTCAAGGGATTAACGTGGAGGCAAGTATGCAACAGCTGGTAGAAACAACCCTGGCTCGTTCTGAACAACAACAACAATAATAACCACGCCGGACTAGACCTGATGTAGGTTGAGACTTTTAAGGATAAACTCGTGTAAGTTTTCTCGTTTATGTACACAGGAAAGGGGAGGGGGACCAGTGTTGTTTGTGTTTATGGTGTGTTCGTAAGTCGGGTAAAACGAGTGGTGTGTGTTCGTAAGTCGGGTAAAACGAGTGGTGTGTGTTCGTAAGTCGGTAAAACGAGTGGTGTGTGTTCGTAAGTCGGGTAAAACGAGTGGCGTGTGTTCTAAAGGTAAAACGAGTGGTGTGTGTTCGTAAGTCGGGTAAAACGAGTGGTGTGTGTTCGTAAGTCGGGTTAAACGAGTGGTGTGTGTTCAAGTCGGGTTAAACGAGTGGTGTGTGTTCGTAAGTCGGTAAAACGAGTGGTGTGTTCGTAAGTCGGTAAACGAGGGTGTGTGTTCGTAAGTCGGGTTAAACGAGTGGTGTGATTGTACTCTGGTAAACTACTATTGTAAACTCACAATTTGTCTTTAAACAATGGGATTTGTAAACAGCGTCGGTAAACCAACCAATCTTACCTCTGTTGGCGAGGTGGTGAGAGGACAGGTGGTGTGAGGAGGACAGGTGGTGTGAGGGAGGACAGGTGTGGTGTGAGGGAGGACAGGTGGTGTGAGGGAGGACAGGTGTGATGGCAAGAACACCACTCCACCCCTTTAATAATGACGTCATTGTACCTCACCCACCCTTCCCCACTCCCACCCCTCCACCCCCCACCCCTCTTCACCCCCACACCTGTACCACACACCTAGGCATCACTTTCATGGCCAAACCTCTCATCAACAAAACGTGTAGAGACTAACTTGACAAAACTTGACAACAAAAAACTGAAGTCGAATCGTTAGGGTCTGGCTGGCCAAGGTGGGCCGCCTCCCTCCCTTCCTTCCTTCCTCCTCCTCCCCCCAAAAAAATCTTTCAGCAAGTGAGTCAGTGAGTGAATAAATGAGTGAGTGAATTGTGAGTGACTGGGCGATTGAAAGAATGAATGCGTGAGTGAAGCAGTGAGTGACAGGATTGGCATGAGTGAACTACTAACCTAACCTAACCATTTAGATGCTGTATAGTTGTCATGTTCTGTTCCTGGCAGTTGTTATGGACAGTTTTATGACCTAAACAATCCTCCTGTGTGTGTAGTACAGCGTGTGGGGAGAGATACGCAATTATCAGAGTTCACTGCTGTGTGTCGCAGTTACGGAGGCACTATTAAACCAGCCAGTCTCTCTCTCTCTCTCTCTCTCTCTCTCTCTCTCTCTCTCTCTCTCTCTCTCTCACAGCCAACACCTGCCACCACCTGCTGGTGCCACTAGGCCCCACAGCTGGCCAACAAAGGTCACTAAGGACTGTTTTGGGAGCTGGGGTGCAGTGTGCAGGCAGTGACACACACACACACACACACACACATATACATATGGAACAGTTTCTTGGACATGACCTCTTCTCTCTCCATTACACCCTATCTTCATCTCTCTCCTCCTCTCTCTCTCCACACCTCATTCTCTTTATCTCTCCTCCCTCTCTCTCTCTCACTGTCCCCTGCCTTCGTATCACTCTCTCTCCTCGCCCTTCCTATCCCTCTCTTTCTCTCTGTTCCTCGCACAAAAACTAGAACGCCCTGAGGTCCGGCAGGCCACACTACGCAGTGAGAGATGGGCGGGGGCAGGCTGGGGCGGGGATAGACTGGGGTGAGGGGTAGGCTGGGGTGGGGGTTGGGGTAAGCTTGGGCGGCGGCAGGTTGGGTTGGGTAGGTTTGGTTGGGGGCAGGCTAGGGTGAGGTAGACCTAGAAGGGGACAGGCAGGGGTGGGAGCAGGCAGGGGTGGGGGCAGGCAGGGGTGGGCGTAGGATGGGTAAGGAGGATTTTGCTAGGGGATTGGAACAGAGAGAAAGAGAGAGAGGCTAAACTCAGGTGAGAGAGGTCAGACACAGGTGAGACACACAGAGGCCAGACACAGGTGAGAGACAGAGAGGCCAGACACAGGTGAGACACAGAGGCCAGACACAGGTGAGACACACAGAGGTCAGACACAGGTGAGACACAAAGAGGCCAGACACAGGTGAGAGACAGAGAGGCCAGGCGCAGGTGAGACACAGAGAGGCCAGGCGCAGGTGAGACAGAAGCCAAACACAAATAAAACATAACTAATACCTCCAATTTTACCCTAGTTTACGATATATATTAAAGAAAACGGGAAACACATGATGAAAGAACTAACAGAAAACGATAATTATTTTTTTGGGGGGGTAACTCATGTGAAAATTTTAAGCGAAACTGTTGAGTTATGGCGTATGAAGCAGCTGTCGATTTAATGGAACTTAATGGCGTTGGGATATTTAAGTGCTGATGATGAGGACAGCTGTGGAGGAACCTTGGTATTGGTGCGGGGAAGGGGGGCATTATGGGTGGTGGGGAGAAAAGTTTAATGGGGGGGTAGGGATGGGGAGAGGGTGTTAGGGGGGAGTTGGATGATTGTGGGGTTGGGGAGAGGGGGAAGAGGGGATGATGAACCTTAGTGATGACATTACCTGGTGGTGTGTGTGTGTGTGTGTGTGTGTGTGTGTGTGTGTGTGTGTGTGTGGGAGAAGAGAATGGATGGGA